CATCTTAGACCCACCTGGTTTCGGTGTGCCATCTTATCGTAAATTTCTCTCTGTTATGTATATATATATATATATATAATCACCACCCCTTTAAGGCCACCCACACCAAAATGTAAGTTACATTTTTTGGGACCCCCCTTAAATGTAAAATTGGTTGCTGAACGTCCCCCAGGTGTCGTTTTTGTGGGGAGGGTCCTCAAATTACTTTCAAAATGTAAGCTTACATTTTCAAGCCCCCCCTCAAAAACACCTTTAAAAGTGTAGCTTACATTTTGGGTACGTACCCCCAGTGATTATATATATATAATTATATTTACATATACACATGCGTATATATATATATATGTGTGTGTGTGTGCGTAATGTGTATATATGTATATATGTGTGTGTAATATATATATATATATACAAATTCAAGTTCGGCAAGAGAATATCCCGAGCATGCAAGATCACTGTTTGCTCTCATTCCCACATGTTGCTCGAGTTCCTTAGGGAAAACAGCAACATTATGTACATCCACATTACTAACAAATCTAGCAATACTGAATGAAGTTGAATCAAGGTTCTTTATCCAAAGTGTTGCTAATGCTGAAGACAGGGAAGGCCATAGCAGCCTGTCCCAGCCTTTCTGCACCACAACACTTGCCATATGAAAAACATGACTCTTCTGAAACCAGCGCTTGATCACAGTCATGGTACTGTAGAATCTGTAGATACGGAGCCCCGGTGCTCATGGTTTGAGGATCTTTAGGATGCGGGTGTTTTAGGTTTGACTTGGCAAATGCCCCACTGAACTGCCAGGAAAACACCCATCGCCTCACCAGTGGCGCATGTGGCACCTGTTGCATCAGTACCGGTTGCACCAGTGCCATTCCTGAATCGGGAAGGCACCGCTGGAAGTTTGATGGAGGCCAAGTTCGAGTGTCTCGGAACGAAATGGTGATGGTGATGGTGATGGTTGTGGTGATGGTACTGAATGGTGATAGTGTCAGATAGTGCAAGAAGTGCAGTTGAAGCTGATGTAAAACAAGCTGCTACAAGATTCCTGCCATTAGGATAACTGATCACTGATAACTGAAATTCCATTAGGATTCTTCATGACTCCTCCTAGCTCCTAAGTGCTCCTAGCTTTCCTGGAGGATGAAATCGGCAGCTCCAAGCCTAGGCGAACCATGGTGGAACCTCCGCGCATCATGACGGCTGCGCGCCTTTCGCCACCTATGACGTGCCCTGACGTGTGGATGTGTGGACATTGCTGTATGATGCCGTAATCACCCACCCCTAAAAATGTATTTTAGGGGGGAGAGGTCAGGTAAAAAAAATTACATTTACCGTTCTCCAAGAATTTGATTCCCCAGGACCCCCCCTAAATACATTATTTGACCGGTGGGTGTACGTTAAATGTAGGATCCATGGGTCGGGATATCCAACCCCCCCAGGATCTTTTATTTTGGGGGGTGGTTTAATACATTTTACGGGTTTGGTTTTTCCAGGATCCCCGGGAATGTTTAATTTTTTTCTGGGGAATACCCTTCTTTGAAAAATGTATTTTAAGGGGGTTGGGTAGCCGAAAAGCACATCATTTTTGGAAAATGGAGGGAATAGATCTGGCTAAGGTAGTCATTGGTACCCCCTGCAATGCATACATTTCAGAAAATAGTGTCATGTCTTCGGAGTGGGAGCGATGCGTGCTTGATCGTGTTTGCATATGTTTGCATGTGTTTGTTTCCAAACAAATCCAAAAGCGTAAGCTAACGGGGTCTTCAGCGCATAATTTTTTTGGTGACCCCAAGTATTCCCAGGTTTCCCCATGGGTTTCAGTAGGTTTCCCAGGAAAAAAAAGATCAATTGGATTCAGGTGCAGGCCCCCCCATGCTTGCATACATTTAGAAAAGTTTATGTATCCATTGGCTCTTGCCAGTGGTGCCCCCCACAAAGCATACATTTTCAGGTTCAATACCCCTACCAATAATACATTTCCAGCATCTGGCACTGATACATGCCTCATTTTGAGGGGTTACCCCCCCCTAGTTCCCATACATTTTTGGCAAAAAGTGAGGGGGTTAACCCCCCCCCTTATGTTCATACATTATCAGAAATGTAGGATCCACCCCCCCTACTCCTGAACCAGTTGGGGTCGGGGATATGCCGTATATATTGCTTCCAGTTTGCCGACTTATTGTTTGTATGATTATTACCGAAGGAAGTTTAGAAGTCAAACTTCTGACAATATGGACAGATGAAAAGCAGAGCAGGGCAGAGGCAGAGAGAAGGGAAAAGATTAGAAGAGATAAGAGTAGAAGAGACAGAGTCAGAAGAAAGAAGATGCAGATGCGCGGAAAGGTAGGAAAGTCGCGAAACACTGTGTTTATCCAATGATTTGTGTCTCCGGAGGGTCGAAAAGTAGGCTCGCTAAAGCGGCGGGTGCGGAGCCAGTTGGCCAGATGAGAGATGAAAAATTGCACGCCGTTGTGGCGCGAAGCAGATTTCCAAGTCAAAA